TGGGATATTTAATTCAATTTTTTTTTTAAAAATGTCATTGTCAATTATAATTGGGTTTGGGATATTTAATTCAATTTTTTTTTTAAAAATGTCATTGTCAATTATAATTGGGTTTGGGATATTCTATTTAATTTTTTTTAACTTTTGTATTATATGTTTCTTTTAATGTTGTACGCTGCCCTGAGTCCTTGGGAGAAGGGCGGCATATAAATCTAATAAACCTAAACCTAAGCCTAAACAACTACATCTCTGCAGAATTTGCATAATTGCCTTGTGGAGACAGAATATCAGGCTGTTTGGCTAAAACTATATTCTGGGATTCAGGAGTGAGCTCTAACTAATGCAATGAAATGTTAATGTATCACACTTGGATTATTGACCCAAATTGAACAAAGTTTTGTCTGTTGCTATAAGATAATCAAATTGTGATACATGCCCCAGCCATGTTAATATGATTTCACATCCCACATCCATTTGCTTCATCCCTTTGCTTATAACTACTTTTGAACAGAGCTTGTTTTATAATGGATAAAATATTTTATAGTATCCATGACAGAACAAATAGTCTGGACTGAAATTGTCATCAATCATGATCATCTTCTTCATTTGGACAGCCTATCTTACTTGCAAGAGCCAGTTATAATGGTTAAGGTAGCAGGCTAGAAACCAGGGAAACAAGAGTTTTACTCTTGCCTTAAGCAAAAACCCCAAAAAACAACCAAGTGACTTGGGCCAATTACAGGTAGTCCTCAACTTACAACAGTGTATTTAGTTACTGTTCAAAGTTACAATTGAAAAAAATGACTTAAGACTGTTTTTCACACTTACAACCATTACAGCATCCCCATGGTCATGTGATCAAAATCCAGACACTTGGTAACTGACTCATATTTATGGTGGTTGTAGTGTCTCAGGATCACGTGATCACGTTTTGTGACCTTCTTACAAGCAAAGTGAATGGGGAAGCCAGATTCACTTTGCAATCATGTTACTTATTTAACAACTGCAGTGATTCACTTAACAACTGTGGCAAGAAAGTTCCTACAATAGGGCAAAATTCACTTAATAAATGTTTTACTTAGTAACAAAACTTTAGGCTCAATTGTGGTCGCAAGTTGAGGACTACCTGTATTCTCTCACACCCCATTGAAGAAGGCAATGGCAAACCATTTCTGAAAATGCTCCCAAGAAAATGCCAGACACTAGTTCCACGAGTTGACACGGAACTGACATAATACATATATCCCAACTTTAACTTAGGATCTCAAGTAGCATATATGGTATTCCTTCCTCTTATTTTCCTCCACAACAGATATATTGGGCTCAGATAATGGACCAAAGTGATCCAGGAAATTTCCATGATTAACCATGAACTAGAACGTGGGTCTCCTCCCTACCAGTGTGACACCTTATGCCAGTATACCAGCATTTCATTTCTCAGAAGACCTGCAAGCTAAATGGATTCTTTATTGGGATTTGTGTGTCTGCCCTTTTGATTGCAAAGCTGCTATGTAAAAAAAATATATCACCCTATAGAATATTTTATGTTCTCTGGGAGCAAAGGGTTAAAAATATTAGGTACACATTAGTTTTTGACACCATTCTCAAATTGTGTCTTGCGTAAGCCCTTTGACTATTAATGAGACAGCAAATTCATATATTTCAAGATCTTTTTGTGGACTTCTGGATTTTTCTTTTCTTTTCTAGAAAACTAAAGAATGAGTTATTGGAAGTGAAACGTAAAGGTGGACGGCATCACCAGCAAGATAACAGCAAGGTCTGCACTCGCTGTCAGAAAAATTTGGGCTTAATTTTTGACAGAGGTGACCACTGCCAAATATGTGGCCTGAGAGTTTGTAACAAATGTCATGTTTTAGGAACCGATGGCAGTTGGAAGTGCACAGTGTGTAATAAAATTGCGTAAGTCTTCCTTTCTAATACCAGATTCATTTTTCTGATCTCTTACTTTTGTCAGAAAATATAATTATCAATAATAGGCTAGAAATGATAGGAAGAATAAAGATATTTGGGGCTTAATTTGTTGAACCAAGACATTCATCTGAGGTCAGACTTTTCCTAGTTAACAGGTCGCTGAAGTGAAAAATGTCCAGTGAGTTGCTAATAAACATTACTTTGCTTTAAGGACTCAAGAATTGTTGTGGGTGTGATGACTCAGAACCTCTTAACAGACTGCAGTGGTAGTACTGAGAACATTTGGTTATATATAAGAATACCTTGTATAAGAGCATAATGGCTCCCGGCACCAGGAAAAAGCAAAGCATTTCTTAATGTATTCAGATGACATGTGGATGGTTGATGTAGCAGATCTCTAGAATAAAAAACTTCTCAAAGTTTGGAGTGTGCACAAAGAAAATTATGTTTTGATATTATCTATGTATTATTAGCATTATTGTATATTTTAATATAAAACAATGGAAACACTTTTAAATATCTTTTAACAGAACATGAAGATAATGACAAAAGAAATAGTGTAGCATATTATCAAAGATCAAGTCTCACTTGTAACGTACACACAAAAGAGACTCCCTGCAGGGAGAGGAAATCCTCCCGTGTACTGCAGGAACAAACCTCAAATCTGGCAAAAACACCAGTGAATGCCAATATTGTGACCTTTTCAGAATGCTGGCATTCACCAGCATTGCTCCTCCCCGCTGGAAGGCTCAGAAGATCCAGGCCTTTCCCTGATAGTCCATTTAAGAACCTGCACAGTCCCTTGATAACTGCAACTGGAGAGCTGGGATTGTAGACATTAAATGAAGCAATCATGTGGCTTTTCATTCAGTGACCAAGATTTCAGGCTCAAATGTAATATGTGGAGGACTACATTTAAACTGCATTAACACCCTGCTCCCTGTTTTGTGTGCAATTGTAACTGACCCATTTCAATTATGTGAAGCAATAACTGTCAATGCAAATGAGGCAGCTGTCTCTGAAGTGAGAAAGGATCTGTATCCTTGGAAAGGCTCTTGTGACTTCTTCCAAGATTGTTGCCCTTGCAGGTGTACTTCCATACATGTAAGGGCAGTTCCAAAGAAATGTCTCTTCATGCACATGCAGAGAATTAGGGATATTTTCCAGCTGCTTCAATGTTTTGAGGAAAAAAACATTTCAGGAACTAACAGGTGAAGTGTCCCTTTCAGAGGCTGTGCACAGTCCTAAAATGCTAGCTTAGTCAAATAAAACTCCCTTCATTTAGTATAAGCAATAGCAGGTTGAGTGAAGGTAATACCGATGTTTCATCATCACAGTGATTCTGGTCATTTTTATCCTACACCTATAAAAGGTTTCTAGATTAAGTTCTTTATTAAGTCTGTTTTGTTTATTGCTACAAATAAACAGCTTAAGGTTTCATTTTTACTTTGTATGCAAACAAATTGAAACACTGACTTTTCACATGTCTCTCCCTATTTATTAAATAAAGCTAATTATACTAGAGGGTTTCCTTATTCCATAAAAATACATGAGATATATTTGAGTAGTCAGCAGCTTGGATGGATTAGTCATTATTCAGGATATATATTACATGCTTTATAATAACCATAGTCACAAATATTAATTTCCATGCTATAGTGTTTTCTTGAAGGGATCCTTCTTAAATCAAGAGTGGCCAGTTGATGATTTCAGAGTAGTCATCTACCAGAGGCTGATAAAGTCAATATGATGGCTCTGACCACAACCCACTGCTTTTTATTTTCTTGTGTCACTTGTGTTCTTGGTCTAATTCCAAAAATTCATTGCAAGGAGTCAGATCTCTGGAAAGATCTCCCTTCTTTTACAGCCTGGTGCATGGGAGGGAGGGAAGGCCGAGGTGGTGCAATGGTTAGGGTGAGCCGAGGTGGCGCAGTGGTTAGGGTGCAGTACTGCTGGCCACTTCAGCTGACTGTTATGTGCAGTTCAGCGGTTCAAATCTCACTGGCTCAAGGTTGACTCAGCCTTC